ACTTTTAAATACAGAGAACAAACTGAGGGTGGAAGGGGGTGGGGAGGCAGGTAAAACAGGTGATGGGCTTTGAGGAGGGCACTTGCTGGGATGAGCACTGGATGTTGTATGTAAATGGTGAATCATGGGAATCTACTCCCAAAGCCATGAGCACATTGTATACACTGTATGTTAGCTAAATTGACAATAAATTATATAATAAATAAAATAATGTAAGTAAATAAAGATGCAAATTAAAAAAAAACAAGAGTGTCTCTAATTGCTTGCTGGAGCAATTTAACAAAAGCAGTTTTAAAACCCCTGTTGATGATTCCAATGTCTTTGTAATTTCAAAGTTGGCATCTGTTGATTATCTTTTCTTCTTAAAGTTTTCCTGATATTTTACATGACAAATAAATTTAGTCTGTATACTGGACATTTTAAGTATTGTACTATGACATTCAGATTCCTGTTTAAAACTTCTATTTTAGGGGCGCCTGGGTGGCGCAGTCGGTTAAGCGTCCGACTTCAGCCAGGTCACGATCTCACGGTCCGTGAGTTCGAGCCCCGCGTCAGGCTCTGGGCTGATGGCTCGGAGCCTGGAGCCTGTTTCCGATTCTGTGTCTCCCTCTCTCTCTGCCCCTCCCCCATTCATGCTCTGTCTCTCTCTGTCCCAAAAATAAATAAAAAACGTTGAAAAAAAAATTAAAACTTCTATTTTAGTAGGTGGTCAATCTGCTTAGATTCAGAATGCAATTCTAGGCTCACTTTTGTGGTCTGTGATTCATATGTCAATTTCGTATATGAAGTCTTTCCAGTGCTCTTCCGGTTTTCCCCATTTGTGTGTTATCTAGATAGCAGAACTCTACTTCACTTACACTCTGCATGGATTTGGGTGGGGAGAAGCACTGCCTCATTTCAGCAGGACAAGGATGAAAAATAGAGGACTGTTCACATGGTGTACTAGAGCGGAGCACTATCTCGTAATGGGGAGGTTAAAGTCAGTTTTGCCTATAGGCTCAGCTGGGAAGGGACCCACTTATCCTTATAAGGGAAATGGAAATCAAGAGCTCCAACCACAGGCTCCTCTGTGGATGGAGGCTGCTTCCTTACTTTAGAGCATAGAAGGAAGTCATAGTTTTGCCCACAGAACTCTGCAAAATAAGGGCATCACTATGTTAACACTGGGTAGTTGTGAAATCCAGAGTCCCACCCACAGGCTCTGCTGTAGAAAAGTGCCACCTTGCAAGTGGTGGTGAAGTGAAAGTCAGAATCTTCCCACAGACTCCAATGAAGAGAGGCACTGCCTAATTACTATAGTGGGGAGGGGTAGAAGTCAGTGTTTGACCTAAGGCTCCACTGGAGAGAGACATGTGTTACTGCACATGGGAGTAAGAGTGTGTGTATGAGATGGAGTAGTTCCACTATTGCAATGCCTATTTGGGTGGGTATGAGGGTGCAGCTTTTATTGCAATGTTTGTCTGAAGAACAGAAAGGATAGATTAAAAGGTTTCTGTCTTGCTGTGCCATCCTTTGGCTTAAAAAAAAAAGGCTTTCTTTGATGCTTTTTGTGTGCACCCAACAGTATATCCAGGTTGTGGGCTTCTCTAGAGCCCAGGCCAAAGTATATGGGAGGCAAGAAAAAACAACAATCAGGGAACTCACTCAATCCTTGAGTCCAAAGGTCCCTAATCACTCCACCTTCTCTTCCTTTACTTTCAGAGTTTTCTGGCAGGTGATTTATGGGTTTTGTCCAGGATTTTTGTTGTAATTACTAAGAAGAATATACAGAATGTGTTTATTCCATCTTGTTCGAACCCAAACCTTGTCACTCATGTTTAGCCCTGATTTTGTGTGTCCTATCACTCTCCTGTTTCCAGAGGATATGGGCTGGGTTTTTACTAATCTTTCTATTAATTACGGGCTTAGCAAAGCATGTCATATATGACATATCCTATCAGCTTACTAGCTATAAGAAACTGTGGATACAACTTCTTGGCCTTTACCCACCATTAGGCTCACAATGCAACTCTTAAGTTTGTTCATTCATTCAGTAAATACCTATTTTATGAAAGCTTCTGGAGCTACAGCAGTGAGTAAGACAGTTAAAATCCCTGGTGTTAAGGAACTTAAATTCCATTGACTGGGATAGGGTGGAGGGACTGCAGGCATATAAATAATGTATTCTCCTCAGATTGAACAACATTCAGTGTACTATGTCTCAGTTAATATTAGGAACATACATTGAAAAGTTGCAAATATTCAGAAATCTAAAAATTTGTAATTGGCATAGGTAAGATAAATTTTTTCACTTGGTATAATGGAATTTTAATGATCTAGTAAGCTAGTTATCAACTACTTACCACATAGAGTTGTTTCCACAGACTGGCCCATTCTTGTAGAGTTGCTGTAACCTCAGTCACAATAGAATCTTCAAGTGGGACCACAGTTTCATACTGCCTACAACCAGACACACAACAAACAGCCACATTATCTTTGATAAAATACCAGAATGCTATCTATTGACATTTTTAATGTGTGTAATTCAAATTTTAAATTCATGTAAATATAAAGGAGAGGTACATCCAACTGATTAAAGACTCTTTTGCAGTAATATGATGCAACAATGTAAATGGACTGAATTAATGTAAAAATACCTGGGTTTTGCTATATAAGTCCTCAATTTTACTTTTAGAAATACTGCCTTTAAAACAAACTTTTTAAGAAAAAAGAAATAAAGAGGGCACTTGTGATGAGTACAGGGTGTTGTACTGAAGTGTTGAGCCACTATACTGTACACCTGAAGCTAGTATTATACTGTTATGTTAACTAGAATTTCAATAAAAATACACAAAAAAGAAAAAAATAAATACAAAATAAAAGATTTTTAAAATAATTTTTTAAAGTTTATTTTTCAGAGAGACATAGGGCGAGGAGGGAGGGGCAGAGACAGAGGGAGACATAGAATCCAAAGATGACTCCAGGCTCCGAGCTGTCAGCACAGAGCCCAAAGCAGGGCTGGAACCCATGAACCATGAGATCATGACCTGAGCCGAAGTCAGACACTTAACCAACTGAACCACTCAGGAGCCCCTAAAACAGAATTTTTTTAAAGACCATTTTTAAGCCTTTTTCCTTAAGGAAAGACCATATACTGCCCAAGTCTTGCTTAAATTAATTTTTTAAGTTATTTGTGCCCTTTAACACTTAACAGTAATGCAAAGATCTGATGGAAATGAGGGGAAGGGGACCCACGCACTGATTTCTAAAACATTTTATAAACCCTTCATTATACTGGTATTCTATTTTCTTAGAAAACTGTGTCAGTAGAGGAATTCTGGGTCTGGTAGAGGAATTATGATCCTGGTAAGGGTCAGAAAGGTACTGGGTTTCCCTCAGCCTACCTCGTAAGCAGCATCGACTGTGGTGCCATTCCCTGTGCTAACTGCCAACGATTTATCAGGGAAAAAAAAGTGGACAGGGTTCCTATCTTCAGAGAGCTCTTGTTCTGGATAGGCAATTAACAGACAATCACAACATACATAAATGAACAGTGATGAATCTAAGAAGGAAATTAAAGTGTACAATGAGAGATTTTAGCTGGGAGACATGATTTAAAAAGAAAAGATCAGTGAAATCTTCTCTGAAGAAGTAGAATGGCCCAAAAGATGCAAAAAAGTCATGACAGGAAAAGTGTGTGGAGAGGGAGAAAACCAGGTATGGTGTCACTTGCAGAGGAAACAGTATACAAGAAGCCACCAAAATTAGAAAGAATTTCACATAAACAAGAACTTTAAAAAAGCCAGTAATGCTGAAGCCAGCTCTGACAGGGCCTTTTCAAATGATACTAAATGTTCCAGATCTTAACTCAAGTAAAACGACTGAAAAGTTACTGAAAGGTTTTTCAAAGTAGGGGCATAACTTGGTAATATTTTTATAATGTCTATGCCAATTGTGAGGGATAATGAAATATTTTCTGGTATAAAAATTTTATATACTGATATGCTGAGGTGATTAGAATCTATAATTCTGATTTATTAACCATATTCAACCACCTGGAAATAGCAAAATATTATACAAACTATTATCATTATGTATTATGTCTTTATACAGTATGATAGGTGACAAACCACTGTGTTCAAAGATGACTCAGTACATTGAGTATCAACGAATATAGGTTACTTGATGGTGTTTTATGGCTTTATTGTTGTATTTTGTGTGCTTCAGTCCAACAGATAAAAAGAATCTTCTTGGAATGATGCCAGAGAACTATCCACATTGATCAAATTTATCAGCTGATTAAAATAAAAACTTCCAGGGGCGCCTGGGTGGCGCAGTCGGTTAAGCGTCCGACTTCAGCCAGGTCACGATCTCGCGGTCCGTGAGTTCGAGCCCCGCGTCAGGCTCTGGGCTGATGGCTCAGAGCCTGGAGCCTGTTTCCGATTCTGTGTCTCCCTCTCTCTCTGCCCCTCCCCCGTTCATGCTCTGTCTCTCTCTGTCCCAAAAATAAATAAACGTTAAAAAAAAATTAAAAAAATAAAAACTTCCAAAAATTAATAACTCGGGAAACAACAGATGTTGGCAAGGAAGCGGAGAAAGGGGAACACTTTTGCAGTATTGGTGGGGTTGCAAACTGGTGTAGCCACTCTGGAAAACAGTACGGAGGTTCCTCAAAAAATTAAAAATAGTGGGACACCTGGGTGGCTCAGTCAGTTAAGTGTCCGACATCGGCTAGGTCATGATCTCATGGTTTGTGAGCTCAAGCCCCACATCAGGCTCTCTGCTGTTGGCACTGAGTCCACTTTGGATCCTCTGATTCTCTCTCTCTCTGCCCCTCCCCCGCTCTCCAGTGTGCATGTGCACACACAGGCGCTTGCTCACTCTCTCTCAAAACAAACAAACAAAAAAATTAAAAATAAAGCTACCCTATGATCCAGCAATTGCACTACCAGGTATTTATCCAGATGATATGAAAATGCTAACTCAAAGGGGCCCATGCACTCCAATGTTTATAGCAGTACTATCAACAATAGCCAAATGATGGAAAGAAGCCAAATGTCGACTGATGAATGGATAAAGAAGATGTGGTATATATGTACAATAGAATACTACTCGGCAATCAAAAAGACTGAAATCTTGCCATTTGCAACAACATAGATGGAACTAGAGTGTGCTATGCTAAGTGAAGTAAGTCAGACAGAGACAAATATCATATGATTTCACTCATATATGGAATTTAAGAAACAAAAGAACATAGGGGAAGGGAAGGAAAAATAAGATAAAAACAGAGAGAGAGGCAAACCATACAGACTCTTAAATACAGAAAGCAAACTGGAGGGTTGCTAGAGGGGGCATGGGTTGGGGATGGGCTAAATGGATAAAGAGCATTAAGAAGGGCACTTGTTGGGATGAGCACTGGGTGTTCTAGGTAACTGATGAATCACTGGGTTCTACTCCTGAAACCAATACTAAACAGTATGTTAACTAACTAGAATTTAGATGGATAGATAGATAGATAGATAGATAGATAGATAGATAGATAAAAACTTTCATCAAAGGCTTAAGAGTAAAATGGGATATATTTTTTTTCCTTGTGTCACTAGCATCCAAGGCAGTGACTCCAAGACTCAACTTTACCAATTATTTCAGGTACTACTACAACAGTTTAAATAAATGGTTTAATTTAGTTTAACTCTTAAAAATAAGTCATACTGAACTTCTCAGATAAAGGAGAGTAAGCCAGTGACAAATGACAGATCTGAAAAAGAAGTCTTAATGACTTACTACAAAAAACTGAATTCAAAGAGAAGACATCCTTTACTTCTTCAAATTACTGGATAACTGCATATAAACATTAATTTCTGAAATTATTTTTATATTCTATGTTTTTAAGAGTGCTACAGAGATAATCAGGAGATTTACAGAAACAACCAGGGAGATCACAATCTTAATAACAAAATTTAAATATAAAGCACAAATAGATGCTATGTGACATCAACTATAAGTTTTTGTGCAGTTCTGAAGGAAAATGTTCACTGTAAACTGATGATAAAGCTTCATGAAGGAAGTGAGGTTCCCAAAGGAAGGTTAGGTTTGAAAAGCAAGGAGGTAGAGAGAGGACCCTGTAGGCTGTAATAAGCTATAAAAAAGGTACAGAGAAAACAATGAGCAAAACATATTAAAGAGGATTCATGCTGGGGACACACAGGTAACTGAAAAGACAGAAGGTATTATCAGGGCAAGGCTAAGAGATTTAAACCTGGCCCTATGGAAAGAGACACAGGAGATGTTATAAGAGTGTTGTGTTTTAAAAGAGAGAGGGAAACAGAGGCGCCTGGGTGGGTCAGTTGGTTGAGCATCTGACTTTTTTTTTTTTTTTGACAAGTAAAGAATTTTATTATTTTTTTTGTTTTCTTTTTTTTTCTAAATATAATTTGTTGTCAAATTGGTTTCCATACAATACCCAGTGCTCATCCCAACAAGTGCCCTCCTTCCTGCCCATCACTCACTTTCCCCTTTCCCCTACCCCCATCAACCTCAGTTTGTTCTCAGTCCTTAAGAGTCTCTTATGGTTTGCCTCCTTCCCTCTCTGTAACTTTTTTTCCCCTTCCCCTCCCCCATGGTCTTCTATTAAGTTTCTCAAGATCCACATATGAGTGAAAACATATGGTATCTATCTTTCTCTGCCTGACTTATTTCACTTAGCATAATACCCTCCAGTTCCATCCACGTTGCTGCAAATGGAAGGATTTCATTCTTTCTCATGCCAAGCAGTATTCCATTGTATATATAAACCACATCTTCTTTATCCATTCGTCAGTTGATGGACATTTAGGCTCTTTCCATAATTTGGCTATTGTTGAAAGTGCTGCTATAAACATTGGGTCCAAGTGCCCCTATGTATCAGCACTCCTGTATCCCTTGGGTAAATTCCTAGCAGCGCTATTGCTGGGTCATAGAGTAGATCTATTTTTAATTTTTTGAGGAACCTCCACACTGTTTTCCAGAGTGGCTGCACCAGTTTTCATTCCCACCAGCAGTGCAAGAGGGTTCCCGTTTCTCCACATCCTCTCCAGCATCTATAGTCTCCGGATTTGTTCATTTTAGCAACTCTAACCGGCATGAAGTGATATCTCAGTGGGTTTTGATTTGTATTTCCCTGATGAGGAGTGACATTGAGCATCTTTTCATGTGTCTGTTGGCCATCTGAATGTCTTTGGAAAAGTGTCTATTCATGTCTTCTGCACATTTCTTCACTGGATTATTTGTTTTTCGGGTGTGGAGTTTGGTGAGTTCTTTATAGATTTTTATACTAGCCCTTTATCCAGAGCATCTGACTCTTGATTTCATCTCAGGCCATGATCCCAGGGTGTGGGCTCGAGCCCTATGTAGAGCTCCACAAGGAGCATGGAACCTGCTTGAGATTCTCTCTCTCCTCTCTTCTCTCTCTCTCTCTCTCT